GGACAGCCCAGGTGAGGGCGGGGATGGGGAGGGACGGGGATGTGGGGAGGGACGAGGGAATACGGGGATGGGGAGGGACAGGCGTGGATGTGGGGACATGGAGGGACAGGGGGACATGCATGATGTCGGGACATGGATTATGTGGGGACACAGATGGACATGGGGACACATAGAGAGACACAGGGACATGGACGATGTGGGGACACATGGACAGGGATGGATGTGGGGACGGGAAGCGACACATGTGGAGACATGGATGGACCTTGGGACACACAGGGACATAAAGGGACATGGAGAGACAAACATGAGGACATGGAGGGACACAGATGTCATGGGGACATATGGAGGGACAGAGGGACGCAGATGGACATGGAGGGGGACACAGAGGAACAGACGTGAGGACATAAAAGGGACAGGGAGGCACATGGGAACAGACACAGGGACATGCAGAGAGCCATGGACTGACACGGGGTCACACAAAGGGACAGAGGTGGGGACACACAGGGGAACACAGACCCCAGGAGGTGCACGAGGCCAGGGACACACGGACAGCGGGACAGGAACGGGGGGGACACACACAGCCCTGCCACACACATGCGCCTGCCACCACAGATGCCTCTGGCGCTGCCAGCAAGGTGGATGCTGGGGAAGTGGCGATCCAGATCCCGACGGTGCCGGTGAGCAGGGCCGCCATGGTGCACGATGGCAAAGAGCAAGAGCCTGGTGGTGCCGCATGTCAGAGAGCCAAATCCTGGTGGTGCTGGAGGTGCCAAAGCCAAACCTTGGTGAGGCCGGAAAGCCAAACCCCATCTATGCCACAGCGCTGGACCCTGGCAGTGCCAGATGTCAGAGAGCCAAATCCCGGTGGTGCTGGAGGACGGGATCCTGGCGGTGCTGGAAGTCCAAGAGCCAAATCCTGGTGGTGCCAGATTGCCAGATGCTGGTAGTGCTGGATCTCAGAGAACCAGATCCCAGTGGTGCCAGATGTCAGGGAGCCAAATCCTGGCAGTGCCAGAGCACTGGATCCCAGCGCTGCCCGATATCATCAAGCCAAACCCCGCTGGTGCCACTCTCCCCCTCACTCCCAATCTGTAGGCGAACGGATAACGAGAGGCGCCGCATTTTTCCTGCCGGCACGGATTCCAGGATAAAAAAGCGGCCAAATCTTTTCGGTGAAAGTATCGGTGAAGGTGTAAATGTGGGAGCGATCGGTGACATTATAAAAAGCCACCTTCCCGGCTTCGTAGTCCACGAAGACCCCCACCCGCTTGGGTTTCACCCGCACTGTCAGTGGGGTGAAGGGGGTGGTGGTGGCTGCATACTTATCGCCGTTCCAGAGCCGTACCCGCCAATATCCCGTCTCTGGTAACGGCGTTAATTCCCCTTTCCGACTCACCGAATCCTTACAAACGCCAAGAGCCCAGTGGGTTTTATCGCCGACTTCCACCTCCCAGTAATGACGACCGGAGGTAAAACCCTGCGCCGCCAAAACGCAGGGGTAGATGGTGAAACGCCGTGGGGTATCAGGTAAATCCCGGGGTCGAACTTCCACAAAACGAACGCTTTTCCGATCTTCTGATAAAACCAGGTTGGGATGCGCCGTGTCAGGATCCAACGTCACCTCACCTGGATGGCGACACCGGGAAGGAAGGGAAGATTTAGGGGGTGGGAAGCACAGTGAGGGGGGGTCCTGGCCACGGCACGATGTGGGGTTTCCTCACCGATGAGGCGCCGGGTGATTTTCCGGAGGGTGAAGTATTGCCGGGGAAAACTGCAGAAGTTCTTCTCCAACTCGATGGGGACAGAAACCGGTTCTTCCACCGGTGCCGCTGCGGCCTCGCACCTGCCGGCAGTCCCCGGGGGGAGGTGGGACACGCCAGCTGACACACCCGCAAATCCCCCTTTTCTGCCCCAAAATGGAGGCCGGAGAGTGGCACAGATCGCCTGCGCAGTTCTTACCTGGCCAGGGTGTCCTTGATGTCCTGAAATGGGGGGGGGGAGCGTGAGAAAAGGGGGGTTAGGTGTGCTAGATCCCCCCCCCAAGCCAATCTCT